GTAACTCACACGGCTACACTTCTTTGGACAATGGTTTCCCAAACAGGCCAAACATCTAGATCATCTGAGAATCTCATGAAGATGAGATATTTCTGAGATTTTTATCTCATAGGGTCAAACACAGGGTCAGGGTTCTATGACTGTGTCAAGGTTCTAGTCAATTCTGCCAGTCACTGCTCTGAAGGGCCACATGAGGTGCATAAACATATGGCCTGCTAGGGCAAGACAGGCTAGACCACATGCTGGCAGTGGCTAACCTAGACTAAGGCTTCGTTTAGTTATTAAATGCCTGCTTGGATTCTAGTCCTTTGAAACATGGCTATTGTATCTGCCAGAACCAGACAGGCTGTCCTTGGGGGTCTTCTCCCCATATAGGTTGCTGCTCCCCAGCTCATCTCTTATAGGAGCTCCTCTCATCTTCCCAGAAATCTATTAGCCACTCAGGCTTACCAGGGTAACATCGCTTTACAAAACCCACTTCCTGACATTTCTAGCCTGAAGCCGCCAATGACAGTTGATCCTCTCCTGGCTAATGTTGAAAACAAAACAAACCAATTCCTGGCAGTTTCCAAAGTACAGATCATTTACACAATAGCAAGCAAACAACCTTCCAGGTCAGAGGCTCTGCTGTGACACTCATACCTAAGGCTCAAGTCCGTGATAAGGCCTCTGGTGCTGGTTAATCTCCAACAGAGCAAGGAATCTACCTGGACCCAGGCAGGAAGGAGGTTTGAATGTCATGCCTTTAGCTGGAACCCTAAGTCCTGACCTCTGGGGAGAATGGTTGAAAGTTATCAGTGGCAGAGCCTTAGGACTTCAGGGAAAGATTGTCAAGAGAACAAGTCCTACAGTTCCAGAATACGGAACATTGACTGGAACCTGGGCTTTGAACGTCTCAAGCTTTAGTATTTGTTTTTGCTTTGTTACATGAAGCAAATAATGACCCCAGGGGCTGTGTTTGAATTCGCACATTAGGAAGCTGACTCACAGACATAATTTAAACCCCATGTCTCCATATCATGGGTAAGTTATATTTGCAATTCCAATGTACCCTGCTTGGCTTCCTATAAAATTCAGGAGTAGTTGATATATGTTTAATCCACAGTGAGTTTGGGCGAAATGGACACATCATAAAACAGAAATAGTTCTCCGATCTCAAAGCTCTGCTCCTACAGTGTAGATTATGTGTGCCCATTGACTCATTTAGCTTTAGAAGAGAGAAACCTATAGAGACCAATGTGCACATAGGAAGACTGAGGCACAGAAAGCCCATGTGACATTCAGCACAGTGACAGGGAGCTAAACTCAATTTACAAACTCTGCTTTCTGAACTTTACATCCACCAGCCATCTTTCCTTCAACCTAGCAAGGCACCAGAGACCAGTTTCTTCTCTTCCCAAGCATGGCTCTAGGGACAGAGTCCAAGCTGCAGAGAACTCTGAACACTGGCTTCCTTAAGAGGCAGCAAAAGAAGGCTACAACTCCAAGACTTCCTCCAATTCCCTGGTTCAAAAACAAATGACAGCTGGGCGTGGTGGCACATGCCTTTAATACCAGCACTTGGGAGGCAGAGGCAGGTGGATCTTTGTGTTGGAGGCCAGCCTGGTCTATATAGTGAGTTCCAGGACAGCTGGGGCTACAAGGAGACCCTGTCTCAAAAAAAGACAAAAACAAAAACAACAAAAAAAAAAACCCCAAAAAACAAATGACAGAAACACCTGTTCCATCAGAACATACTCAAAAGAGTCAGTCTTCCTGTGGTTGGGGTAGAGTATTTACCCAGTATACATAAGATTCATGAGACCCTGGGTTCAAACCCAGTACTTCAGAGAAGGGGGCGGGGAGAGCAAGGGAAGGAAAGAGAGGCGGGGAGAGAACGAAATTGTTTCTGGCCATCTCCATCCCTAAACTCTCAAGTCTGCCCTTGGAGTGTCTGGCTTCATTTGGTTCTCTAAGCAAGAGACAGTAATCATTAGTGACAACTGCCCACCCTCAGGCACTGAGAGAAAGTGAGAAGGATGGGAGGGAGGGAAGGAGGAAGGAAGGGGGGAGGGAAAAAGAGGGAGGGAGGAGGTGAATAGAAATGGGGTGCAAATTAATGGGCTACTCTTGGAAGGAAAGATCAAACCCATCATTTCTCTTATTAAAAGTCCCAGGAGGCCCAGTGGACTTGTAATTTCTACCTTTGGAGACTCTCATGAGAAACTTGTGCTTTTTAGATTAGTCCCTCCTCCAGGATAACTGGCACTGGGCCCCCATTGCTTGCTGATGAGAAATGAGAAATGGTCTAGGATGAAGTCAGAATGGTGGTGGGAGACATTTAAAGAAAGGAGCTCTGGGGGCTGGAGAGATGGCTCAGTGGTTAAGAGCACAGACTGCTCTTGCAGAGGACCTGGGTTGGGATCCCAGCACCCTTTTGGTAGCTAACAACCACCCATAACTCTGGTTTTGGGGATCTGCCACCCTCTTCTGACCTTCTTGGGTATTGCATAACATGGGTGTACTTACATACATGCAGGATATTCTAGTGAATATTTTATTATCTTCAAGTTCATAAGTATGTATTACACTCAGGCTGGTCATCCAGTATTATGATGTGAGACTTGGAGAATAGAAAGGAAATAGTATCTATCTATATATCTATCTATCTGTCTATCTATCTACCTATCATCTATCTATCTATCTATCTATCTATCATCTATCTATCTATCTATCTATCTATCTATCTATCTATCTATCTATCTGTCTATCTATAATCTAGCATCTAAAGGAGCTCTGAAAGGACTGTCAATGTACAGTCATGCCATGCTGAATGCACCCAATCTTTTCTGAAAGGGCTGTCAGTCTACAGCCATGCTACCCTGAATGCACCTGATCTAGTCTGAAAGAACAGATAGAGAACAAGCCCTTATCATCCAGAGCCTTCAGTTAAGCCTTCACATCCTTCAAGGTGGGCTGTAAGAAGAGAATCGGTAAAGATTTTAGAATGGCAGGGGCAGGTGATGGTCATAAAACAGGGTGGAGGATGGGTTCCAGAACACAGAAAGCTCTGAGACAGAATGTGGGGTCTAGTGATGGAGGGATGCAGAAAGAAGGGAGGAGGAAAAAGGACCTGTGCAGGTGGAGAGGAGGAAAGAACCAGAGCTTGCCCTAACAGATGATAGGCAGCCATCTGTGGGAAGCACATGGTGTCTTCTACAGTTTTATAGCTGATGATTTGGTCCATTTTGTTCAGTATAGCACAGGGGATGTTCATCTCAAGCAGTCCATGACACCCTCTTCCTGTACGACAGAGAGAATTCCAGGAGCGCTGCCTGTCAATCCTCTCATTTTTGTCTTGGCCGTGAGAAAATTCAGAGAGTGTTTGTGTTTGGTTGTAGTGACGCTCTACTGGGTCATCCTATGTGTCTACCTTCCTCCTTTCTACAAAGCTTCAGGTCTTCCCTTCTTCCTTTGCTCATGGCCAACATTTCATAGGCGCTTCCTAATGCCTGTGACAAGCATCTGGATTAAAGTCATGATCGTTCTGTGCTATATCCCGAGTGTGTGTTGCCTGAAAAAAACTCAGCACTATGACAGGTTAAGTGCGCTAGAAACAAAGGGCACAGATCATGTCACCTGCGCCCTGCCAGCTCTGGGGCCTTCAGCTGTTCCCAGCCCAACACCCACACCTGCTGGGCTGGGAAAGTCCCCACAAAAGAGTATAGCCTGACATTTGTCTATTTTGTAAATGTTTGCTGTGACCATTTAACAAACATTTATCAAGCACTTATTGGCTGCACAGTGCTTTTCCTGGTAGTTCCAAAACAAAGAAATAAAATAGAAAGTGAAGGCAAGCAAAAGCTTCTCGCTAAGTAAGAAGGACCCCTTGAGCCATTCCTGAAATGTTTTCCAATCTCATTTATGCATGGGAACCAGCTGGAGCCGGAATTCACCCCCTTCTGGCTTTCTGCACAGTGCTGTTGCATCTCAGCTCCACCCACCCTGAGGTAATTGAGAAATCCCCAAGGTCAGGATCAGGACTGTGAACCAAGATGGCACCAGAGCTGCTCAGGAGGGAGGTCCATTGGTTGGCCCTGATACTGCATATTTTAACCCTCAGAGCATGAAGCTCACCTTTCGGTTTGGGGGCGGCGGCGTGTTTCTTCTGAATACTAGTAATAGGCACACTGGCCCATAATGGGACGAAGATGCTACAGTGAACAGGAGTGGGGAGGATGCTGGATGTTGGAGACAGGTTGACAAGGCACACAGAGATGGGCATACCTTACATGGCCAGTTGTCTCCTTCCATGTTGCTGGCATCAAATCAGTCCCCTACCCTCGTGTACGAAGAAAAGGCTGCTCTTTGTACTTAAGGTGCAAAGTGACTGAAAAGAGAACACAAATATTTGGGCAGGGTGAGGGAATTCTTAGGACAGACAGTAGCTGCTTCCATAGGGTACTGCCCTATGTTATGACCAGGTAGACAAAGGGCTCTAGGGGCAGTACGTGAAACGGCAGCTGTGTCACACAGAGGGCTGGCGAGTCATGGGGTGATGTGGGGGACTTAGAAAGCGTGAGTTTGGTGCCACTTAGTGGCAATTCTTGGAAGAAAGGAATTAGATGTTTTGATGGTTGCAAATCGCTGCCACTCTGACACGGGTGTGGCCCATCTTTGGTCCCTCTCATGGGCTGCAGTATTAGTGGCAATTCTTGGAAGAAAGGAATTAGATGTTTTGATGGTTGCAAATTGCTGCCACTCTGACACAGGTGTGGCCCATCTTTGGTCCCTCTCATGGGCTGCAGTGTCTTCAGTATAAAAGGAGGGGATTTGTTGTGGCTTTTCCACAGTTCACTTTGGTTCCATTCTGTGCACCTTGCAAGACAAACATGACCTTTGTCCTGTGCCATACCAGACCCTTGTGCCCTGTGGTCAACTTCTCCTCAAGTCCTCATTCCACAAACAAATATATCCTCTTCCCTCTCCACACCCCATAAAAGAATCACTTAACACTGAGCTTGGGGAAAATCAACACTTAATTCTCTTTGGAAGTAGCTGAGAGTTCAGCAAGGATCCGAGGAGGCGACGGAAGCCCAAGCTTCCTCAGGCTGGGAACTCACAGACAGCCAGGAAGGGGGTGTTGCAGGAAATGTCGTTCCAGATCCCTTCCTTTAGGATGATGGCACAATCCTCTCCTCCTCCATAGTTATTGGGCTCATCCTTCTTCCAGTTGCTATAGGTCAGCGTCCCTCCTGTCACATATTTGAACTGGCCTTCCGTTATCTCATCAGTGATGCCTATGAAGGCGTTGTCCTTGGCGACATCTTGAATGGCCTTGTTTTCTTCAGCGTTCCTGGGGGTAGCCACGGTGCCTCGGAGTTCCGTGCACAGGGCCTTCACTTTGGAGAAGGGCATCTTTTCACCATTGGTCATAAAGAGCTTCTTCCCAGACTTTTTGCCCAAGGAGAAGGCTTGCACTGAAACCACATAGTGGACAAGGCTCACTCAGTTTGGATCCCAGTCAGGACCTTAGTTAAAAAAGTCCTCTGGGAACTCAGGACTCTGAAAAGTCCCATGTCCAACTGCCCTAGTTTGAAACCTAAGACTCAGGCATGCTCCAGCCATAGAGCCTGGGAACGGATGCACAACCTCCCGAAGACAGCCTAGACCATCCTGGGCTATCCCTCCCTTGGCACCAGCATCACTTAAAAATGGGCAGCAGCACAGGTATACATGGGTGACATGTATGGGCCATGGGCCTTACTGCCAGGCTGGGACACCAGGATAGGAGAGAGGCACTGATAGGTAAGAATGGTGGATGGGAAGCTAGAAGCAAAGATTTTGGAGACGACAGACCTCCATTCAACTCTTTCTGCTAACTATGTGGTGTGGAGCAAGTTACCTACATGTCACGAATTTCTTTTTCCTCATCTGTAAATAAGACAAGTATAGTACCTTAATTTTTTTTTTCACTCTGTGTGTGTGTGCGCGCACCTGTGGGTATGTGAATGCATGCATACAAGCAATGACATGTGTGTGAAGGTCAGAAGACAACTTTTGGGAATGGCTTTTATGCACTTAGCCATCTTGCCAGACCCAACACAAGTATAATATCACAACCAGAGTTAGTGAGAGAATTGAAAGAGACCATATTGTAAGACACAACCCAGCACATACCCTGGGGTATAGTAAGTATTCAGAACTGTTAGGCTCTTCCACACTCTTCCAAATCCATATCCCTCTTGGGGAATGTGTGAGAGAGGCAAGAACACCTTAGGGGCTGAGGAAAAGCTTACACTTCTTGATGTGCTCCAGTTCTGATTTCAGAGTCCTTATCTCTGTCTCCAAATTCACCAGCTTCGCCTCAGCAGCTATAAGAGCAACAGGAAGAAGAAACTCAGAGACAAGATGGCTTTAACTCGGAGACTCAAACATTGTGGGGGAAAATGCTCATGGGCTGGAGAGATGGCTGAGTTGGTAAAGTGTTTGTCATATAAGCATGAGGACCTGAGATTGCTCCTCAGAAGTCACATAAAGCCAGGTGTGATGGCAGATGCTTGTAGGCCCAGTGCTGGGCCAACAGGTGACAGGTGGCCTGGGGCGCACTGGCCGGCTGGCCTAGCCTACTTGGCAAGTTCTGGGCCGATGAAAGAGCCTCTCTCAAAGAAAGGCCCGTGCCTGAAGAATAATGCCTGAGACTGACCTCTGGCCTCCACTTAAACACACACACACACACACACACACACACACACACACACACACACACACACACACACACACAAGCTTTCTAAAGAGTATGTTTTCTCCAGAGAAAAATATGAAAGCAAAAAGAAGCAAATGAAGCTGGGTGTGAAGGTGCATGACTTTAATCCCAGCACTCGGGAGGCAGAGGCAGGCGGATCCCTGTGAGATTGAGGCCAGCCTAGTCTACATAGTGAGCGCCAGGCTGGGGCTATAGGGAGACCCTGTCTCAAAAAGATAAAAAAAAAAAAAAAAAGAAAAAAACACAAAAACCAAATATTCAAAATACTTC